GGAGGAAAAAGAGGGCGAATGTTTGCTTAACTATAATCTAATTAACCACAAAAATGTTACCTCTATTTTACAGATAAGTGAACCAAAGTCACTTGCTCCAAGTACAGAGCTAGGAGTTGAATCAAGTTCTATATTTTTCCAAAGTTCATATTCTTTTAATTCACTTGATACTCTCCAGGTAATAAAAGAGAAAATATAAGGAAAGGTTGCCACAGAGGTGATAGGCAGCAACAGATTAAATTGACAGGTTTATAAACTAAGACCAAGGGATGCCTAAAAGTAGGAACAACACATAGAAGTTAGTCTCCCCATGAATAGACATTTTTCCAAAGAAGACAGCCTGATGGCTAACAGACACATGAAAAGATGCTCAACATCACTCATCATCAGGGAAATACAAATCAAAACCACAGTGAGACACCACCTCATACCTGTCAAAATGGTTAAAATTAATAACTCAAGCAACAACAGATGTTGGTGAGGATGCAGAGAAAGGGGAACACTTTTTGCACTGTTGGTGGGAATGCAAACCGGTACAACCACTTTGGAACAAAGTTTGAAGTTTCCTCCAAAAGTTAACAATAGAACTACCCTATAACCCAGCAATTGCACTGCCAGGTATTTACCCAAAGGATACATAAATGCTGATTCAAAGGGGGCATACACACCTCAATGTTTATGGCAGCACCATCAACAATAGCCAAAATATGGTAAAAGAGCCCAAATGTCCATCAACTGGATGAATGTATAAAGAAGACGTCGTATACAGGGGTGCCTGGGTGGCTCAGTCAGCTAGGCATCCAACTTAGGCTCAGGTCATGATATCACAGTTTGGTTCAAGGTTCAAGGTTAGGTTCAAGGCCCACATTGGGCTCTGTGCTGACAGCTCAGAGCCTGGAGGATGATGTGAGTTCTGTGTCTCTTTCTCTTCTCTCACTGCCCCTACCCTCCCTCCCTCCTTCCCCTACCCCTCTCAAAAATAAATAAACATTAAAAAATTAAAATAAAAAGGATGTGGTATGCATATACAATGGAATATTACTCAGCAATCAAAAAGAATAAAATCTTGCCATTTGCAACAACACGGATGGAACTAGAGTATATTAAGTTAAATAAGTCAATAAGAGAAAGAAAAATAGCATATGATTTCACTTATAAGTAGACTTTAGGAAACAACAGATGAACATAGGGGAAGGGAAGAAAGGATAAAATAAGATGAAAACAGAGAGGGAGGCAAATTAAGAGATTCTTAAATATAGAGAACACACAGGGTTGTGGGAGGGGCGGTAGGTAGGAGAATGGGCTAAATGGGTGACAGGCATTAAAGAGGACACTTGTTGGGATGAGCACTGGGTGTTATACATAAGTGATTAATCACTAAAATCTAGTCCTGAAACCAATACTACACTATACATTAACATGAATTTAAATAAAAAATAAATTTAAAAAGAGAAATTAGTCTACCAAGCACAGTCATTTCATTATTCAGAAAATACTTATTGAACACCCACAAGGTACTAAATAGGCACTAGAGAAAGGTAGGATTGTCATTCTAAACAGGCATTTGTCAGTATTAGATGACAGTTAAAAGGAGTCTGAACAGGCCATGTCTTTCTAGATCCTTTTGAGGACATCTTGTTTTATTTACTCCATGCCATCTAACTGCCTCACCCTACCAGGCCTGACCACCTAGACGCCTATCCCCCTACATCCTCCTCCACAATGAACCAGCTCAGCACCTTAAAGCAAACCAGACCTCCTTCCACCAAGACCAAGCACCACAAGATCATTCTGACAGGTGGCCCATCACTGGAATAACTTCTTAAACCACCTGCCATACCCCATTTATCTTAACTTTCTCTACTACAGTTTTCTTGCTGTCTCTCCTATCACCATATTCTCATCTTATACTGAACACACACCACCTCTCCTGACTATAACCTCTACTGGTTCAACAGTGATTTTATCTCCATCACAATAATAAATTATTGGATTACTTCATGTGACCATATAATGCTCAGGTACCATACAGTCCAGTCCTACATGAAATAATTTAAATATTTCCTGAGGTTACCCAGACTCCACCCATAACACCCAGCAAAGGTTATTAAAATCATTTCACCATCATTTTCTTCCCAAAAACATGGCATCTGTCTCTAAAATTTCTTTACATTTTTTTAGCCCAAATTCTCTCCAAAATTCATGGGTATCCAGTCCCACTGACTCCTTTTTTTTTTTTTTTTAATCTTTCCTTTCCCTCTATCGTTTGTTCTGTCAGTGCTCAAGGACCCATTCAATGAGCCAGGTACTTTCCAGCCTCAGACTCTTGGCCTGACTGTTCTCTCTGCTCTGAAAAACTCAGTATCTAGACATGCACCTAGTTCACTCTTGCCTCTCTTTCAGGTCTTTCCTAAAATGCCACCTGCACTGTGAGGCCTTCTCAGATCACCCCAGGTAAAACTGGATGTTGTTAACCTACACTCTCTACCCCCCCAACCTCCTTCCCTGCTTTCTCTATTTCCATTGCACTTATCACCATCTGACATATATTTTATTCCTTTCTCTTCTGTCTTCCCTCTCTAGAGCACAAGCTCCATAAAGGAAGGACTGTTGTCTGTTTTGTTTCCTGTTGTATCCCCAGCACAATGCCCAGTACACAGTGGTTTTTTAAAAATATGTATTTACTCATTATCACTATTCTGTATAAAAAAGAACCAAAAAGAAATTGGCAAGATTGAGACCAGTGGGGGAGATGAAGAAGAAGAAAGCTGTAAATACTCAGTATGGAATATCTTTTCATCATCTCTGTCATGATATACCATTGTCTGTGATCTGACTCAGCCCCCAAGATTCTTCCACTTGTACAGGCATCTGTCCAGCCCCCTCCTGTGGGCCACCCCATAACCATTCTGTGTCACCCATTCCCTCACATCCTCCCTAGTGATCTGAAAATGCTCCGTTTCATTCTCTAGAAAAACAGGAAATCCTTTCATCCACTTTTGATACATTCAGCCTATAGTTCCAATGATTCCTCATATTGCATGTGGTGCTGTCTTGGGTTGTTCTTAAATAACTTCCCATAGAAACAAGGACTTATCCTATAGGAATCAATCTCTAATGGTTACAGATTAGACCTGTAAACCAGTAAATACACCTGAGACACCATCAGTCATAGTTCCTCTGGAAAAAAGCAGCTCATCTGCATGTCATATGAGAGGATTTTTCTGTCATAGAAACAAGGTCACCCAAATAGACCATAGGATCACTGATCTATGTGATACGACCATGGAGAGATACCTAAAGTGCTATCCCCTCAAAATGTAATGGCATTAGAGTGTTTCTGAGCACAGACATGTCATGAAATGTGGTTCAGGGATTATCAATGGATGTATATTTAACCCTTGTTCTTCCTAGCTCCCATTTACCATAGATAATTGGGAATTGACTGAATCAGATTAGACAGTAAATAGGTTAGCAATTTATTTCTAATAAAACCAAATCAACTGCTTATACTTATACTCTCTTTCCCTATCTATCCCTTTACACTGTTAGGATAAAATAGCACATCTACAATATATATGTAAATATACCACTTAAATAGTCAGAATTATAAAATTAAAACATAAAGCAACAAGAAGAAAATGTGGGTGAATACTTATCTGATGTATGTAAGGGAAGGAAATATTTAATCATAAAAAGAAACATCAAAGGAAAAGACACTTTATTTTATAAAATATAAAACCATAACTATTATTTGCATACAATGATGAAAAATGTTTTATATATCTTATATATAAAGAGTTCCTACAAATCAATAAGAAATATATAACCACCTTATATACAAAAATGTATGAAATCATGGACAATCAACAAAAACAAGAAATCATTAATAAACATGTGAAAAAAATGTTTAACCTCACCAGTAATAAAGTACATATGAAAGAAAGATTATGTTTTCCGCCTATAAATTTGCAAAGACTTTTTTAAATTATATTCAATGGTGAGAAGGATGCAGAAAAATAAATACTTTTATATAATGCTGTTGGAAAACTAGTGACCCCTTGCTGCAAGGAAATTTGGCAATTTATATATATTATTTTTATACAGTAATTTAATTTCATCGTTAGCAATCTATCCTTAAAAAAAGCATCAAAGATTGACACAAATGTGTATATACAGTAATGTTTGTTCTGTCTAGAGCTTTTATATTAGAAATACCCTAAGTGCTTAATAATAAAAAAAGCTAAGTAAATAGTGACAGTCATATAGTAAAATACTATGCAACCACTGAAATTATTTAATTATGGCAGATTGTATTTTCCAAAAATGACTGCCACAATATTTCTGGTTGTATATGCTCTTTCTGAGCCTTGCCATTTCCCACTGTGGTAAGCTGAATTATGGTCCCCCAAACATGTGCATGTCCCAATCTGTGATACATGTGACTATACAAATGGTACTTTGCAGATATGATTAAGCTTAGGACTTTGACATGGAAAATTACTCTGGATTATGTAAGTGAGCCCAATGTAATCACAGAGCCCCACAGGGAAGCAGGAGGATCAGAGTCAGAAGAGAAAAAGAAGAATGTAATGATGAGCACAGAGGGTCACGCCAGAGAGAGATTTGAAGATGCCACAATGCTGGCCTTAAAGACAGAAAGGTCATGAACTAAGGCGGGCAAGCAGCCTCCTAAAGCTAGGAAAGACAAGGAAATGGATTGACCCCTAGAGCCTCCTAGGGTACTTTGATTTTGGCCCAGTGAAACTCATTTCAGATTTCTGACCTCCAAAACTATAAGGTAATAAATCTGGGTTATTTTAAATCTGTGACGACCTCGCTGACAAGAAACTAACAAACCATTCAAGAAGCCAATGTCTCAAGGGGAGAGCTTCTGTGGGCTTTGGGATGGATTTCTGTGATGGCCTTGGTGATGAGCATGTAGCAGAAGGAAGGCTATGTTGTGTGATTTCCAAAACTAAGTCCTAAAAGGTGAGTTATTGCTCACTCTGGCAGCACATACACTAAAACTGAAACAATATGGAGAAGATTAGCATGGCCCTGGCACAAGGATGACACAAAAGTTCATGAAGTGTTCCATATTTTTATCATTAAACCACTATATTGTATACTTGAAACTAATATTACACTGTTAACTATAATGGAATTAAAATTTTTAAAAATCAATATTTTTTAGGGTGAGTTAGGTTCAGCCTGGCCTTTCTTTGTGGACAACTGCTTGCTGAGTTCTGAGGTGCCATGTAAGAAGCATGACTACCCTGAAGCCACCATGCAGAAGACAACACATTCGAGACTGAGAGAAGTACTCCAGAAACTAGCTGTTCCAGCCTCCAGGTGTGTGAGTCTTTCTAGCCCAGGAGCCAAAAATGTGAGTAATCAAACTTCAGGTAATTAGCCCAAGCCACCACCTGACTACAAATGCATAAAATACCCTGAACAAGCTGAGCCTTGTCAACCCCAGAACGATGAAAATCATAATAAAATGATTCTGTTGTTTTATGTAATTAGGTTTTGCATTGGTTTTATACATCAATAAGTACGTAATATAACAATAATAAAGAGAAATGTTCAAAATATAACATTAAGAGAAAAAGTAGCGGCGCTTGGCTGGCTCAGTTGGTAGATCATGTGACTCTTATCTCAGGGTCATGAGTTTGACCCCCACATTGGGTGTAGAGCCTATTTAAAAAAAAATAAAAGCAGTCTAGGGGCACATGGGTGGCTCAACCAATTAAGTGTCCAACTTCGGCTCAGGTCATGATCTTGTGTTTATGGATTTGAGCTCCCCTGCCCACCCACCCCCCACCGCCCCAGTCAGGCTCTGTGCCAACAGCTCAGAGCCTGGCCTGCTTCATATTCTGTCTCCCTCTCTCTCTGCCCCTCCCCCATTCACAGGTATGTGTGCACTCTGTCTGTGTCTTTCTCTCAGAAATAAAAAAAATAATAATAATAAAATATTTAAGTAGTCTGTAGACTACCATAAGGGTGTGTGTGTGTGAACAGAAAAAAACTTGGGTGTCAACAAAATAATTTGTATAAAATGGTTATATCTGTGTGCTGGGTGAGGAAATTAGTACCTTCTTTATATTTTTTATATTTCTAAAGCCTATAAATAAACATGCATTCCTTTTATAAACAGGGAAAATATTTTTAAGCCCTTTAGATTCTACTACTTTCAAATATATCATGATTGCTGAAAGCATATAAATATAGCCTGTACAGGAACATTTACATTCACACATGTATGTGCATCCTGAAAATAAAGTCAATAGAACAGGGGAACTGATCACTTGGTTAATCAAAATGAGAACATCAACCTTTAAATCCTACTTTTATTCCTCCCTTTCCTGTAGTAGAAATGGCAGCAAATATCTTATAATATGGGGTCAAATACCTAATCCTTTTAGCCACTCCCAACTCAACTGTAATTGACTGATGAATGCTACTGGGTTTGGATTCTTTTCTGTGACACAGATAAAAGACTGTCTATAACTTCTCCCAGAAGAAGGAAAGTAAACCACCTTTTTGAGAATCACCCCTTTCTAATTGGGCACAGTGCCTAAAATTCACTAGGATTTTGCTGTTCTCTGTGAGTACCTGTGAAAGATGGGAACCTGGAAAAAAGTCAGGGGTGCAGTAAGAGAGTGGAAAGGAAGGGGAGATCCCAGGACTCTGCTGCATCCCATTAAATTTTCAATGATAACCTTGGAAGTGGAATTCACAATCCCTGTTTTACAGATGAGAACATTTAGGTTCAGAAAAGTTAAGCTGTTCACCCAAGTCAAAGAGCTAATAAGTGGCAAAGCTGAACTTCTAATACGAAGTTTCTTAAGGCAACACTGCACTTGATTTCCTTTTGCCTCAGTTTCACAGTTCCTACCTTCAAGCATTGTAATGTGAATTAAATGTCTGAATACACATATTATATAGAATAATGCATACCACTTGAAAATACCTCATTATCAGTATTAGCTGCCATCTTAATTGTACGACTCAAAGTCACATTACAAAGTACAAGCAGGCCCTGGAGGATCCACAATTGCTCTCCTTTCAAAAATCCTGCACTCAGCATCTCACCATTTTTGGGTGGGGCAGCAACCTACCCAGCAGTACGTGTTTCTCCACGAAAACTAAAACTGGATCTGAAGCCCACCAAGTAGCAGCCTAGTGACCCACCTCAGACACACATTTCCCATGCTCTTTTTCAAATTGCACAATAGCTCTCACACAGTCCAAGGGCTATCATTAAAAGTCAGCTGCTCTCCAAATGTGTCGATTCCGGTGGCACTGACAAGTGAGAGTAGGAGGCAGGGTTGCTTCTATAAAATAAATGAGGAGGGAAATGGTACTGGGGTGGGATCTGCCTTCTAAATGCACTGAAAACTGAGGCCCCTGTCTTTTGGCATTTCCTAAAAGGCCTCTTGAGCTTTCCTTTGCAAGCCTTGAGACTGAGGGTACTTTTAGCTGTTTAAGCCTTCCTCTTCTAACAGGGGTCAAAGGGCTAGAAAGATCTTCTCAAAAGGATAGAGAAGGAATCATTAAAAGGGAGGAGAAGGAAAGTGACAGAAGGTCAGCTTTTTTTTTTTCCTCATGGGTGCATCCCTGAGGGTCAGGCTCAGTGTCCAAGTGTGGCACACAGGCACCTAGCTTCCAGAAACCTACAGCAATTTGATTCACACTTCCCTGAGCAAGAGACTAGAGGAAGCTCAAAGGAGCCGCCTGGGGAGGGTATAGAAATGAAAACAGACAGAAAAGAAATCTGGCTGTGAAAAGTAAATTTCATTGATCGAATTAACTTAAAACAACAGTGATAGTGTTTCAATAAGCCAGAGAAAACAAATGCTTGATATCTTCATGTGTTTTGAGTCTGCCACAAAACTTGTATCTTTCAAATATAAATTTATCCTAAAAATGTTGCTTATCGCATTGTGTGAAACTTTATCTAAGGACTAGTTTGGGATTAAAATTCACCTTTACATACAACACAAGCACACAAACAGTGAAGGTTTTCACTTATTTTTAGTCAACAAGCAATAAACAGCATTTGCACCCACATACCTACTCCTAACACCCCATCTGGTAACATTTCCACGTTTCAAGCAAAGAAATCAATAGCAATAATCCGTGAGGGACTCATAGGGTATATATTTTTTTTATCACACTGACATTTGAAAAAAAAATTTTTCCCTATCTACTTAGAGCAAAAGATTGTTCTTTTTGTATGTTCATATGGAAAACTTGACATTATTATTGGAGGAAAAGAGGTTAGAAGGGAAAGGGAGATGAACCAATTAAAACAAATGTGAGAATATATAAACAAGTGTTTTGTCACAATATAGGTTCTGTTTGAACAACCCAAATGATAATCAGTGCATAAGCTGAAAAATCCCCAATAAACCTGTAAAATTCAAAATTACATTATGGCTCAGTTTCTAAGGAAAGGACAGCTAAAATGCATATTGATGTAACTTCTCAGAGAGGAAAGCCATCCTGCTTTCAAATCGCAGTACAGGGAGAAGAGACCATGCCCAAACCCTGAAATTTAGAACTATGCCATTGCTGATTTTCTGTGCGAGAAGGAAATATGATTCTTTGTTACTGCTCTTATTTATTGCAGACCTTGTCTGGAATCTGGTATTGAAGCCATGCTTGATGAGTTGCCGCCTTGAACTTTCCCACTGATCAATGCTGGTGCTGCTACTGCATGAAAGAATAGCTTTCCTGAGGAGCCACTATCACATGGGAAACCTAGCAAGCATTTTTTTTTAAATGGCCCAGAGTCTTGTATGCTTAAGCTTTGGAACATGTCTCCTGTAAGAAAAAAAAGGCAAATGCTGACTGACCATTTGAAAATTGGAATGTTACAACAGCAAGAGGTAAGGTCAAAAGCAGAAATCCTCCTTTCTGTAAAATGATCAGATACCAAGGGATGAGAATGTGCAGGAAAAAGAAAGGCTAATATGAAGCAAGAGGACAGGAATCATATTTCTTCTTAGCAGGGTGACAAATAAAAAGTTGCCTTTATTTTTCTGTGCAAATAAACTTTACTTTAGGAATTGTGGCAATGGCTGGACTCCCATAAAATAGGCTTTATCTGCTGTGGTGACAACCTAAGGCAGGGAGGGGTTAGTGGCAGGGTAATTGCCATCTTTTCCATTATTTTTGTCAATATTTTTGTTATTTTGTGGTCATATTGCAGGAGAAGTCTAGACAAATGCCATTAAGAATGAGGGCCAAGAGAAAGGGTTTAATCCAATTCTACAGCAGTTCATGTGGAAAGTATGTGTCACTGGAATAGGCTGGGACAGAGTCTTCAAACACATCTAAGTCAGGCTCTGTGTAAAAACCCCAGCCTGTCCATGAGCTCTGCACTTTAGGGGCTTCCCTGAATGGAATAATCATGGGAAGAAAGTTTCCTTTGAGAAGGACGTATGGCAAGTCATCAGTACCTATTGGAAGCTAATGCCTTCAGAAGGATCCCAACAAACAACCAAACACAAAGAGAAATTGGGACAACTCATGAACCTCCATCTAGTTTATGAAATAAAACAAGAATGAGATCTGAGCTAAGTTTAAGTAAGGTTGGCCTAGCTACCTTCACTCACTGGCCATATTCTTGAACTTTTCATTGGCAATTAAGTATTTTAAACAATTACCAATTCTACTGTGAGGCAATTACATGCTGATTTTAATCTCTTCTCCACCCTCCAGACACTCCTAACAGTTTCAGTTCCCTATGGTCATAATTTGTGTGCATGCCACAATGTCCAGTATGAGCAACTTCCAGCTGCTCAGTCTAGGTCTTCCCTTCCTTATAGCCTCTGTGGTTCCTAGCTCTGTGCCTCACAGGTAGTAGACAGTCAAGTGTTTGTTGAATGACTGGTTGAGTGAATATACAAAGGCCTCATCCCTAAGTACTGCCATCAAAAACACCACCTGTCTTGCCCCCACACTCTTCTGAGGATCTTCCCCCTCCAACCGGGCCAACCTCAGTCCGGGCGGCTGCAGGTCTGCTCCCACAGCAGACCTGCTTGGACCTTGCTGGCACCACCAACCCTGCCCTCACACTCTCCTGCGAACTTGCCT